CAATGGGATAGGCCCTCATTAGCATACCCCAGTGACGGCGCGGGGACCTCTCCTTGCCAGCAGCCAATGGAAGTAGCCTCCTTAGCATAATGGGGCTCTAGGGGTTTCTCAGTCCCCCACAGGGGCATGGAGCTGCGATGGCAGGCAGGAGGCAGCCACATGCCTCCTGGCCAGATGGGCTCGAAACTCGTGGCGCCGGCTGAGGTGATATCTTTCCTTAAACGAACTAGATATTTGCAAAATAAATAAATAAATACATTCTTTGGGGAAAACAAAACCAAAAAGAAATCAGATCATGTTTTTTGAGATTTCTTAGCTGGTCCAATAAAAGGTATCATTTCTGAACCAAGAGTTCTAGAGTTTTGCATTTCCTTCTTTGCAGGCTTTTGGGCACAGGCACCCTTCATCACAGGGATCCCGGTTTTCTCTGATTTAAAAAAAACAAACAAATTTCAGTTGAAAATGTAACCCCAAATCCACATTTTTTCCATGGTGTAAATGAAACACCACATACACACACACACACATATATTCATGTATGTATGTATATTATATATATGTATATATGTATATGTATCTACAGAGCTGACCTGAGCAGGGAATGGGGCCCAGGGCAGGGTGCGGGGCCTGCTCCGATCTGGGCCCCAGCCCCAAAGAAGCTGCCGCCACCAATGCCAGCAACAACATCAGCGGTAGCGGGTAGGGAGCCACAGGCTAGATGTGGAGCTACCACTCTGCCCGGCTCCACACCGCCATTGCTCTGTCTCACTCTGCAGAGCCTCCCAAAAGCATGGGGCCCAGAGCGGTCGCCCCAGTTTGCCTCCCTCCATGGACAGCCCTGTATATATAATATATATATATGTGTATATATATATATATATATATATATGTGTGTGTGTGTGCATACGTGTGTGTGTGTGTATATGTATATGTATATATGTACAATCTATCTATATCTAAATCTAAATCTAGTTTTATAGTTTCTAGGGTCAGAAGGGACCTGAGTAGATCATCGATCCTGACCCCCTGCCATGGCAAGAAAGAGTACTGGGGTCAAACGACTCCAGCAAGGTGTACATCTAACCTTCTCTTAAAAACCCCCAGGGTAGGAGCCAGCACCACTTCGCTTGGAAGTTGGTCCCAGATCCGAGCTGCCCTGACTGTGAAGTCGCGCCTCCTGATGTCTAGTCTGAATCTCCCCTCTGCCAGCTTGTGACCGTTATTCCTGGTCACTCCTGGCAGTGCTCGGGGGAACAGGGACTCCCCCAATGCCTGCTGATCCCCTCTAGCCAGTTTGTAACAGGCCACAAGATCCCCCCTCAGCCTTCTCTTGTGGAGGCTGAACAGGTTCAGGTCCCATCGCCTCTCCTCGTAGGGCCTGCCCTGCTGCCCCCTGACCATGCGAGTGGCCCTCCTTTGGACCCTCTCCATGCTGTCCACATCCCTCCTGAAGTGTGGCGTC